AAATGTTCTTTGAAGCAAATATGAACATTAAAAATTGGGGTAAGGGGATTATGGGTTTTCTCTGTTCATTTCTGCCAATTTTTAAGTGGTTTCCATTAAATCATGAACAAAGACAAGATAGCAACAGATTGTTATGGTTTACTTCTCAATTTTTTTTTTAAAACTGTATTTGTCAAGTCATTATATACATTGTGCCCTCAAACATCACTCAAGCAAATTAGGTGCTTCTGTTTTGTTTTCAGGAGTTCCTGTTTAAGTTTCTGTTGGTTTTGTTCTAGAGAGAAGCTTTTTATCAGCCACAAGAAACTAATATATATAGATTTGAGCTCATTGACTTGAAGATGCTGCTTTTGGACTGCCTCTGAATAAGATGATGGTATATCTCAGCAGTACACCTTACACTATATATTTTTTTGGTGTTTTTTTTTTTTTTCTACCGGTTTATTGCTACCAATCCATCTCCCTCCACCCTCGTGCACCCATGCTCAGTCATGTAACCCCATAGACTGCAGCCTGCCAGGCTCCTCTGTCCATGGACTTTTCCAGGCAAGAATACTGGAGTGATTTTTTTGGTGGTTTTTCCTAGTGGTTACCCTGGACATTACAAATAACGCCTTAGTTTGTAACTAGTGTGAACTAATGCTACTTTAGTTTCATGTAGAGAAAAAGAGGAGTTATAAAGCATGAAATCAATTAGTGACTTTTGTATTTACTGTATAGTTACCACTGTTTATTTCTTCCAGTGAATTCAAGTTAATGCTGGTATTCTTTTTATTTCAATGTGAAGGACTCAGTTTAGCTCTTCCTATAAGACAGGTATAGTGGTAATGAATGAACTCTCACTTTTTTACTTACCTGGGAATGTTTTAGTTACCCCCCCCCCCAGCCCCTTTTATCCCTTCATATGTGTTGTCCTGTTTTCTGGCCTCTAGTTTCTGATGTGAAATCATCTATTAATCTTGTTGTTTTGAAGATGCTCTTTTGGTCTTTGACTTTGAGTAACTTGATTACAGTGTGTCCATGTGGATTGCTTTGAGTTTATTCTACTTGGGAATTCCTTGAGCTTCTTGGATAGGTTTCATCAAGTTGGAGGCATTAGGGGCCATTATTCTTCACTCTCTCTCTTCTTCTGGGTCTCCCATTATGCATATATTGGTACATGTAACGGTATCCTACTGATCTCTTGGGGTCTGTTCATTTTTAAATCTTCATTATTTTTTGTGTTTTTCAGACTAAATAATCCTTATTGATTTACCAAGTTTATTGATTCTTTCCCCACTCAAATCTGCTGCTCTATGCTGAGGCCCACCTTTAACACTTGAGCACTTTACAGCTCTTCTTAACCTTTTTATGTGCAGAGCCTGAAGTTTGAATAGTCTTGTCAGGTCTTTACTGAGTGTGCTGCCAGCACTGGGCATGCCTGTGTCCTCTTAGGTTTCCCAGAATATGTAGGAGCTTTTCAAAGCCTTTATTCCCAAAGCATCTCCTTCACCAGCTGATCTTCCTTTCCCTTTTGCCCCAACTGTTACGCTTTGCTGGCACTGGCTACTATATTTGCCTTTAACTGTTTTTGACAAATGCCAATTTAAAATAATAAATTTTACAGTATTTGAACTATATACTCAATTAATAGCAAAACACATGTGTGTGTTAATCATTCAGTCATGTCCGATTCTTTGCAACCCCATGGACTGTAGGGCACCAAGCTCCTCTGTGCTTGGAATTCTCCAAGCAAGAGTATTGGAGTGGGTAGCCATTCCCTTCTCCAGGGGATCTTCCCAACCAGGGATCGAACCCAGGACTCCTGCATTGCAGGTGGATTCTTTACCTTCTGAGCCACCAGGGAAGCCCCAAAACACACATAGGACATAATATAAACTGTGTGGTCTAAGAAGAATCAAGAACAGGTCATAGAAGAAAATTTAAAATCTGATAACAATACCTTGTATTAAAACACCTTACACTCAGTAATTGTAGATCTGTCAATGTTCTGAAAGTAAATGATCCTCACCCCTCTCTGGCTTTTCACTTGACTGGCTGTAGCAGAAATCTGGTCAGCAGTTGTTCCTTCCTCAGCTATCTTAAGATGTAAGATTAGTGCCCGGGCTCCAGTTGATTTTACTCGTTCCGGTTATGATTTGTTTCCCAAATATTGCTTGACAATTAAATTTTATTTTCTGTCCTTCGTATACTTGCAGTGGGATCTGTACCAAAGCCACGGGTTGTTTGGTGAGGTGATAATGGGCAAAAAGCTGACCTAGAGACATGTCAAATGCAGGGCTTGGGCCCTTTTTGCTAAGCACTATTTATATTTTGTTACTGGTTGGCATCAAACAAGGAGGGAGGGGTTCCCTTGAGATTCCCAGACTGTAGAATTTGCTGGTGCAGGTTTTCATTGTTAACATAAGCTTATGCTCATGAAATGTATGGAAAACACTTTTTCATTAAAAAGTTTGTATTTATATACTACTATAGTCACTTAAAGCATATTCAAAAACAAGTTAGTGGTATTTCTAGTACAGGTCTCACACATAATTGCTACTTAACTGTTCAGTTCTACTTGAATATTGAATGTCCTGTACTCTGCTAAACATGATTTTTATTTGCTATTTTTAACTAAAAATATAAGTCACTTATTAATACTGTGGTCTTCTGAAAGGTAGGATTTAATGGGTATGAGTTGAGATAGGATACGTGTTGGGAAAATAATGAAAACCTGTTGTAAATTGAGATGTATTTGAACATAGTTTAATGATCGGTTCGTGTGCAGAGTAAACAAAGTTCCATCAAGTTGCAAAGCAGAATTGACCTCCTTCTTTTCATAATATTTGAGTCTACTCTAAAATGTAATTTGTTTAAAGATGAGCATATAAATGTTTGGTAGCCTGATACATAAGAATGAGTAATTTACTTTAGAGGAACTGATTGCTGTTTAGTCAGAACTTGTTATCAAAATATGAGGGTTTATTTAATCCAAGTTTAATGATAAATAAAAATATCAAGGATATCTATCATCTGTTTTCTGTTGTGTCTGTTTTCATAGTGCTTCAGTTTCCTAACCCAAATCGTGTTTTCTTTCTACCCCACACTGTGCGTGTGTTCAGTAGTGTTCCGACTCTGTGACCTCATGGACTGTAGCCCTCCAGGCTCCTCTGTCCATGGAATTATTCTGGCAAGAATACTGGAGTGGGTTGCCATTTCCTCTTCCAGGGGATCCTCTCAACTCAGAAGTCAAACCCACAGCTACAGCATTGGCCGGTGGAGTGGTTACCACTGAGCCACCTGGGAAGCCCTCTACCCCGCACCCTAGCACATAAATCTCAGCCTGTCTCTGCCTTTTTTTCATACACATACAACACTAAGTAAGGCAGAATTCTCAGTAATTCTTTTTTTTTTTGACTGTGCTGGGTCTTCGTTGCTGAGCAGGTTCTTCTCTGGTTGTGGCAAGTGGGGGCTACTCTCTAGTTGCAGTACGCCAGCTTCTCATTATAGTGGTTTCTCTTGTTACAGAGCGCATGCTCAGTAGTTGTGGCGCACAGGCTTAATTGGTCTACGACATGTGGAATCTTCCCAGATCAGGGATCGAACCCGTGTCTCCTGCACTGGCAGGCATATTCTTAACCACTGAACCACCAGGGAAGCCCTCTGAGTAATTCTTAATTCAGGACTTCCTAACAACTAAAAATGTTAGCACCACAATACTATTGTCATTAGTATTCAGTATTGGGGGAAATGCATATGTGCATCAGAATTGGGCCCACCCACCCCCACTGCTTAGAGACTTACATTCATATTATATGAAAAGCTGTAAGTTTTTTATCCTGTTAAGGATAAGTTCATAAAATGAGTTTAAAGAGCCAGGCAACATACATAGAGCGAGTCTGTCCCTGAACCTTACCCAAAGAAGGAAAACTACTTCTAGTATATTTTGGGTTTGGTGTTTAGTTTGATTATGACAACTTTGGAGTAAGAAGACATTTTTTAAACTCTTACCTTCATATTAGGCAAGTTGTTGCCTTCCTTTGGCATAAATCACACTAATGTTTGGATTTATGTACAAGTCTCTCTTGCTCTATGTAAACACATTTTTTAGCAATTTCAGAGTTAATGAATTGGCAGACTGTTATTGTAGGGGTGTCCCAGGTTGCACAGTGGCAAAGAATCTGCCTGCCACTGTTGGAGATGCAAGAGACATGGGTTCAATCTCTGGGTCGGGAAGATCCCTTGGAGTAGGAAATAGCAACCCTTTCCAGTATACTTTCCTGGGAAATTCCATGGACAGAGGAGCCTGGTGGGCTACAGACCATGGGGTCACAAAGAGTTGGACACAACTTATCGACTGGGCGTACACACACAGACAGACTATTGTAGAATCTGGAACTTTAATGCTTCAAACTTTTAACTTGCAATATATCAATTAGGTTAGATCATGTTATCCCCTTTTGAGTAGAGTATACGATTGAGTATAAGATTACTGTATGAGATTAGATGCCTAAAACTCACTGTGGGGAAATCCCGACATGGAGGAACTCAACATGGACCCAAAGATAAAGCAAATAGAGAATGGGCTATGAAGTGGAGAGAGCCACAGCTATACCTTGCAACTAAGGAACTAGAAGTTATTAAAAGTTTGTTTTCACTTCCAGTCCCTGGGTTTTTTAATATCGATTTTCCAAGCCATGCTTGTTTTATGGAACATAGAATATTCTATTTTTTAAAAACTGGATGGTTTGGGGATTCCATTTAAATAATTGTTTGCCTTTGTTTACTGTTATTAGAATCTAGGCTATTCTCAGTTATTCCTTAGACATTAAAATCGTTGAGGAGAAAAATGAAGCTTTCCAAATGCTTGGTTTACCATGTTCATTAATGTATCATGTGCATCTCATACCTAACCATGATGGCTGGTAATAATAGATGCTCACTAAGAACTGAAAGAATGACTGACTAAATTAACTGTATTGTTGTTTTAAGGTTAAAAACTACATCTAACGCCAACCATGAAAGATCCAAGTCGCAGCAGTACTAGCCCAAGCATCATCAATGAAGATGTGATAATTAATGGTCATTCTCATGAAGATGACAATCCATTTGCAGAGTACATGTGGATGGAAAATGAAGAGGAATTCAACAGACAAGTTAGTTTTGTGTATAAACATTCTTTTCTATTGTAGCCCATGACAACCATCAAATAATATAATTGTACTTGTCCCTGAAATGTGTTTTTCACCTGGTTCCTTATATATGAGATACATGGATTTATGTGCCACCACTCCTGTTTTATTTGGATGTTGATTACTACCAGGTTTAACTGCTCAATTGAAATAAACTTGGGAGCTTTTTTCGGTGTCTTGACCCCAGAAATTCTGATTCAAAAGAGTTTAGGGTGGGACCTGGTAAACTTATTTTTTTTTTAAGGTCTCAGGTGGTTCCAGTGAGCAGTAAGGTTTGGAAACCACTACCTTACACCAGTCAGATTGTCCTATTGCGGTGAAAGTCAAGAGACTGCAGAGTACACAGGCACAAGTACCAAAGTACTGGTTTTCACCTAAGGTTCTCGTTCTGACCAGCCCCCAAATCTGACACCACTGTTCTCTTTAGAGAATTCTCATATGTTGTAGAGGACTCTCATACATTGATAGATGTCTTTATTCCCATATTTCTTGTACCTGTTTTCATCTTTTGTCTTGTTTCTCCCTTATCCTGGCTTTGGTCATCAGTAGCCAGCTTGATTTGACCATACCTAGTTATATATATTCAAGAGTGTTAAAAAAGGTTAAGCAGTGTAGTATTCTATTTCAATGACAGTTAAGTTGCTGGCCCTCTAAAGATTTTTTTCCAGTCATTTTTGGGTGGGTTTAGGGTTTGTATAGTTCGGGAAGTATCATAGGTAATTCTGATACCCAGTCCTGCATAATAACACTTCTTTGTTACTTCTTCCCTGCTACCTTTAGTGGAAAGAAAGAATATTCTGCTATGACAAGTAAAGACATAGCAAAAATCTAAGTAGGTCTTTCCAGGTCTTATGGGAAAGATTTTTTTTTTTTACCTTAGCATAGACACAAACGAAGAAGGTATGACATTGTGATTTTTAATGGTTCAGTTCAAGATACTTTAAGCCTTTCCTAATGATGTCATCTTAGCAAGTATGCTATAAATTACCCTTTATTATAAATCCAGATAGAAGAGGAGTTATGGGAAGAAGAATTTATTGAACGCTGTTTCCAAGAAATGCTGGAAGAAGAAGAGGAACATGAGTGGTTTATTCCAGCTCGAGATCTCCCACAAACTATGGACCAAATCCAAGACCAGTTTAATGACCTTGTTATCAGTGATGGCTCTTCCCTGGAAGATCTTGTGGTAAAGAGTTATTTTTTCATCTTTTTAAAACCTAGGTCATCTTTCTCATAAGTGGAAAAGCCAGCATCCATCTGTTTAAGAAGAGTTCTACGTCTCTTTACCTTAAGAAATTCTACTGCTTCTTACTATGGAAGCAAAGGCCTCCTGGTCTCACTTATGATATGGAGTGACTTTTGGCAGCACTCTGGAGCTAGTCTGAGACTACTAATAGACTTCTTGACACTACTTTCAGTAAATGTCTAAAAGCAGTCATTCAAAAGGGACAAGTATGTTCATGTGATTTGCCTATGCAAAATTAGCTTGATGGAGAGGTTTTGCTCTGTCTTAAATATATGGTGAAATTACAAATTTTTTCTGAAAGGTAAAATTTTGGAGATTTTTTCCTAACCCAGGATTTTCATTGAGTTACCCTAACCCCTTTTGGAATTGTGATTTAACAAAGACTTAGAAACTCTTGGCAGAAAAGAAACACAAACCTATTTATATTTTTAGTTGTTCCCAATGTCTCATTGCTGATGGTTTATTTGTAGTAAAAAGTTTTTTCAGGAACTGTGATAACTAAGCATCAGTACTAAAGTAAAACCTGATGATCCTTTTGCTAAAATGAAGATAATTTAGTCAGGATGTTAAACTTTCTCTCCATATGGACAATTTCTAGTTGCTTCTGCAAGACGGTTCTCTGGAATATACCCCTAGACTCTGAAGTCATTTTATAATTGTCTTATTCACTGTGCAGTGGTTTCCTAACCTGGTTGTACATCATAATGACCTACGAAGCATTAAAAACAGAAATTTTCTCAGGAACATCCCATCCATAGAATCAATCATCTAGACATGCTAATTTTTAAAAGCACTCCCAGAGGATACCGCCAGCCTGCCCTATCAGACATTTTGAAACCGTTTTCCTAAAGGGCTGTATAGAGAACACTGAAATGTACATTGTGGCATAGCTTTTGTTGCAGTAAAGGACAGTAACCCAATTGGGCAGATATGTGATCTGAACAGTCTGTTGGGGTATGCTTGCTTATGGCTGGATTAGTCACTCCACAAATAATCCTGATTCCTCTGAGGAAAAAAGCTCTTTCCTGGGCATAATATATAACTTTACCTGGACCCAGTATCATTCCACTGTCTAGAAACTGGTTTGTTTGACCCGGTCTATTTGAGATTAACTTCGTTATTTTGTATCTGCCCAAAGTTTAAATTGATTTCCCTTGAGAGATGAGAATGATTGTTTAAATTATGAAACTTAAATTATTGCTCCAATATGTTGTTTAATATGCTTTGGTTTTGAAGTAAGTAATGTTGAGGGCTCAGATTCAATCTAAAATCCTGCCAGCATGCCTACATTTCAGGCCCTGGAATCCGTCCTGGTTTCTTTTTGTCTTGATCAATTTGCATTCAGAGATGTGGTAGAGGAAAATTTCCAGCTATTCCCTGTATGCTAACATATCTACTTAGGAAAGTAAAGATTTAGAAATACAGAATGATGGTGGTATAAGCCTCTAAGGCTCTGAGAGGCTCTGGCCCATTCCTCCCCTAACTGATACAAAAACAGTCCCAGAGAGTGACTTATCCAGGCCTACGTAAGAAGTTAGTTAGCAGCGCTGGGGTTCCAACTTAGATCTTCTGACTCCCCATGTAGTTTTCTTTTCCTGTTATATACCATGCTTCCTGTGGGAATTAGAATACAGCAATTGTAAAAAGACAACTCCATATTTTCAAGGAGCATCATAAAGTAAAATTAATCCATAAACAATTCCCCAATTACTTTAATCATCATTTCAACACTTGTTTAATGTTTGCATAGTATGAAACTGTTTAAAGAAAGTGAACTATCATAGTTAAATGAATAGAATCCTGTTTTCTGAGACATTCCTTTGGTGGATGTGCAGTTAGTGAGTTTCTGGTTACACTTAAGCAAATTTAATTTCAATTCCTACTTTCTTTTTAGGAAATTGATAAAATTTGATATAATATACATAGCTTACATCTGGTTCCTTCTTTGACTGCTATAGATGTTTTTTAATTCAGTTTTACCTTACCATCTGAATTCTTGCCTTTGTCTTTTATTTTTGGAAGATGTTTTGCATGTGGATCTGGGTTGAATGCTTCTGAGTATCTGAAGCTATCTCTTAATGAATTTGCTTTTTTATGTACTTATTTTCCAGGTCAAGAGCAATCTGAATCCAAATGCAAAGGAGTTTGTTCCTGGGGTGAAGTACTAAAATATTTGAGTAGACGGGGCCCTCTTTTGGTGGATGTAGCACAATTTCCACACTGTGAAGGCAGTATTAGAAGACTTAATTGTAAAAGCTCTCTTGTCACTGTGTTACACTTATGCATTGCCAAAGTTTTGTTAGTCTTGCATGCTTAATAAAAGTGCTGAGACTGTTATTAAGTAAAAAGCTATCAAACATTTACTGAGAATAGAATTGGCCCCATGGCTTGAAATGAAGACAGCAAGGAAGGAAGCACCAGTCAAGTTGTGTCAAAGCACCAAATTAAGTGATCTCTAAATCTAAATTAAATTGTAATTGTTAAGTAAGTTTCTCAGTTCAGTCTTAAATCTGCATTCCCATCAAAAAGAATCTCCTTTTTCTGAAGAAGGCTTGCTGGTTAATTGAAATAATTCAGTATAGACATTTAAGTATGTCTTTAGTTACTGAGGTTACAAGGTAGTGAACCTAAGTCTCCTGGCTTTTACGGTGTGTTATCATGTAAGAAAATACTGAATTATCCTAGTGTTACATCTAAGATAGTATGTGATTTGAGAATTCTATCCTTTTCTAAGGACTCATTGCATCATAACTATTACCAGTGTAAAATCTAACATTTGACCAACCCATAATTCAATTGAACAAAGAAATTGTTATATAATTTGAGTGGTGCTTTTCCTTGCTTTGTTAACCATCACTACAATAGTCTGCAGCACAACTTTTCTTTTAACAAAGCTAGAACAGTTTTGGCTTCTTAAACTTCTTATTTGGGTAGGTTAAGCTGCCATACGTGTTCAGTGTGAATAGTGTTTAAGTTGAAAATATTGTAAAAAAATTATATTTTTTCAAAAATATTTAAAAAAATAAATAATAGTAGAACTGAGCTACTGATGTTTGTGTTTATTGGTGTTGAAATACGGACTCTGAAGTGGTGATACTCACTTTAGTGCAGGCCCAGTCCCTCAGGACAACCTTGCTGGCAAAATTTGCTGAGAGAGCAAGCTTTATTAGATTCCATAGTGTCAAGTATGTTGTTATATAAGTATCTGTCCAAAACATAGCAGTAAAATAAATCCCATAGCCCACCTTGGTCGCCTCAGGCTGCAGTGTCAAAGCAATCATATATATCTATGTTAAGAAACTTTCTGACTGGCCAGTATATTGGTAACCTTACTCTAGTATAAGCTCCACTGGCTTCTGCCCTTCACAAACCATTGCTCTGATTGGCCTGGTTTGCTGTTTGGATTCACCTGGATCTTCCCCTTTTTCACTCTCACAAACTAATTTATAATCTTTATTTGGGATAGGCTGTCAGTCAACTAGCAATTTCCTGGTTCCATATATAATTCTGCCTTGTGGCCCTATTCTTAAATTTGGAGGGCTCAAGGTTAAGAAGGCCATCTAGTCAGTCCTGGTTCACATTTTCCCTATGGTCCTTTGATGTCAGTACCTGTGCCCGGTGTTTTTCTAATGACTCCCTTACTAAGCTAATAAACAGGTAGGTTTTTTAAGACTGAAGTAGCTGATCCTGTTCAGCTCTTGCTCTTTTTGGAGCCACAATACCACCAGCCCCCTCTGTTCTCTACTAGCTCAGTACCACAAGTGGCACAGCAAGCTGCCAAGTATGTAAGGGTTAGAGACCATTTCTCTAAGCCTAGATGGGTAGGCAGATGAGTTCATTTTCACATACTGCCAGATGATCATCATTCAATATAATTAGCGGTTATAAACTTGAGTAACCTAATGATTAAAAGCAAAGACTAACCAGACTTCCTGAATTTGATTCTAGTGATTGTGGGTAGGTCCCTTAACCTTTCTGTGCCTTAGTTTCCACCTTGTTAAAATGGTAGTAATAACAGTATCTATCTCAGGAGTGTATTTAGTTAATACACATCAAGCACTTGAGACCATCCCCTGGTACAAAGTAATAAATCACTTAACTAGAACTTTCTATCATGGAGTCATCTAAGCTGAGCTCTCACCTTGTTGGAACTTGTCCGTCTGTGGCAATGTGCACATTAAAAGTACCTTTTTTAAGACCTTGAGACAACATCACCCCATTAGGGCCTGTATGGCATAGTTTTAGGGTAACTGAAATCATTCTGTTTTGTAGAGGTTTTATTAGAACTATTGAAACAGGGCACCTTATGTGAGAATTTTTAATATACTTGTGTCAGTCATTTCTCAACCTTTTCCATGTCATGAAGTATAATTTATCATACTGGAGTGCATGGATGAGGTTGCCTATAGCTACAGGTTATGGCTCATGGGCTCCAGTTGACCCAGTATCAGTTCAGATAGCCAAAGGCTGAAGGGATCAATATTTCAGCATACTTTTAACCTCCTACACAGTTAATGGCCCACACTTGTTGGGAAGTTCCACTGTCACTATAAAATCCAAAGGCCAAAGGATCAGTATTTCAGCATACTTTTAACCTCCTACAGGGTTAATGGCCCACACTTGTTGGGAAGTTCCACTGTCACTACAAAATGGCTAAGGAGTTCCACATACATATAGTGACTTTTTACCTAGTCTGCCTTTCCATTGAAAATGGTCAAATAGGTCACAAAAATGGAAACTTGAGTAGTTGTCTCAAGGTTGAGACAAAACTTGAGTAGTTGTCTCTTTGGTTAAAGCATAAGAATGTGATTTTCCAACCCTCCAACAAAAGCCATAGACTTAACACAGTCCTACCTTTCCTGGGAGTAATTTTTCAGACCTTGGTGTACACAGTCTCTTTGTTTTCTGGGATATCTTCTGGAACTGGAAGCTGGTTTTTTGACCTTGAAGGAAATCCTTTGAAGACCGGGCAGATAGGAATGTATTTCAGAAAGGCAATTCTTTTTACCATGCTCATCCCAATGGGAAAGTCATAGCTTTTCAGGCTGGAAGACATCTCACTATCAGCATGGGCCCCAGCTTTCCACTGTATCAGACCTCGTTCTTCTGGGCTTCCTGCAAGTGGACAAAGGGGTCACCAGAGCCAGCAATCCTCTGCTTACCTTCCCTCCCCATAACCTAGTCATGAGGGAAGAATTCCAGAGTTATCGTGATTCTCAGTTCTCTGGTCCAGCAAAGTTGAATCAATGATCTCAGCTCCTAACTTGGCTAGAGCTCTAGAGATCCCTAAAATATACTGGTTATACATAATCAACATTTATTGCGTATCTACAGTGTGCCATAATGCTCCGTGCTTAAGTGCTTTAAGTTCATTGTCTAATTTCTTTGAAACATTGGTGGGAGTTGTATATGCACTATTATACAAAATTTTATGATGAAGAAGGTTAAGTAATGTCAGCCTTCACCTTGAGTATGGGGCTGGTGTTTGCTGGGCCAATAGGGACCAAGTAGTGCCCAGACTGCTGTGGAGGTAGGAAGGTTTATTTTGAAATACTCTAATCAGTCTTTTTTTTTTTTTTTTGTAATCAGTCTTAATATTCGGTATTATGATTCCATATTTGGAAAATAAACTGTAATACAAACCTCAGGAAGTCAAGCTAAGTAAAATCTTTGTTGGTGGTAGGGATACACAAGAGGTTTTTCGCAAATTGGGGGAAGTAGGTATGGGAGGGATTTGTGAATTCTCTGAGGTTTTCACAAAAGAGATGAGGTTGGAGACAAGTAGAAGTAAGTGGAGATTTCCATACACTGGCAGGCCAGGTTGAAAAACCCCATGAGTAGAGAAACCAGATGTATCCCAAATCTGAAGAAGGGCTGGGATACTCGGGAGAGACCACCTGGAGGAGGAGCTGGAGCTGTGGCACCAGATGGGCATCTCAACCGCACTCCTCACCACTGCCAGACACGACCACCAGTGCATGCTCCTCACCTGCCTTCCACACCCCTCCCTGTGGTGCCTTCAACTCTTGTCCACATTCCAGTCTCCTTGGCCCATCCAGAATCATCCAGGAAGTGCTCTGGATGACTCAAGCCCAGGCTCATTGACCTTACTGCTCTAAATTGCTTTCAACCCAGTTTTCACCAAGGTCTAAAAAATTACATCTGCATGACAGATCACTGGCATATCTGGAGTGGGTTTTGCCAAAATACTAATGCTACATTCCCACCCGTCCTATTCTAAGAAAACAAAGGCACTCCTCAATCCAGTGGCAACCAAGAAATGGAAAGGAAACAATTCATGGGGCCCAGGAATGACTCTCCTAGCCACATCCTCTTCAAGACCAAGAGGAAACTTGGCCTCGGTGAGGCCAGTGGTCTCCCCCTCCAGCCCATCTGTTTCTGCCTCTCCCTGTAGAGCCTGCATTGCATCTGACCTGGCCACGGCTCTGGAGATATCTGGTTGACTGTCCATGAGTCCACCATGGTTCTCTGTTCTTGTCCCAAGGGTGACCCATACCTGGCACTGTGTTGTCCAGTATGAAAGCGAGGCACCCACCCACGAACATCTCCGTGGTCAGCAGCACAGTCAGAATCTGGTCCACTTCAGGAACTCCTGTGGAACAGGCCAAAGGCCAGTGAATGTGATGGCCTCATCCGGAGAAAGAGCTCAGAGATGCTCCCCACTTGCACAGACTGCTGACTTCGTCGAGCAGGTGTGGAGATGGGACAGTACAAAATCTTAACATTCAGGATTATACCCTCTGCCTTTCCCATCCTTGGATTCAAATCCTAGTTTGCTGGTTGCTGCTTGTCCTGCAACAAATCATTTAACCCCTCTCATCTGTGACATGAAGATAGTATCTGTCTCATGGAGTTGTTAAAACTAAAAGAGCACATGTAAAGCTAAGACACAGAAAATGTCTTAGTAAAGGACAGTTATTAATTAGCCACTTGGCTGCTGACTAACATCTAGAGTTGGGGAGGATTTGTTTCTCTGGCTGTGTGGAGCCTTTGAGGGAAGAAGCTGTGCTCAGTCAAACCCACCACACCTCCCCCACCCTGGGATGGGTAGACTCTTGGGAATACCTGTATTAATGACGTCCGGGTTGGAGTCCAGGTAACTGGGCAGCGTTAGACCAAAGAACATGGAAAACCCAAGCACGAAGAG